GCTAGAAATGGTAGAATGTTCCGAACCATCATCGTCACCGTTGTTCCTCGCATTTCTAATTGGTCCGTACTGATAGGGAAGAATATTCGGGGCGAAATCAATGTCCGACAAGCTGTCACTTTTTGCCGAAACTATATTGAAATATACATCGACTTCTATACGATTGTCGTCTATTACGTCGTGTCACGTGATTTAGCTTCAGCTCATTAATTCTCAGGTTTTTTCCGTAATTGCGGAGACCCGAAAGTGTTTTTTAACGTTATTTATTACTAAAACCTTTTTTTTTTTTTTAAATAATTCTGAAATGTGTTACACAATGAACTAAGTCAATGATAAAATTAAACTTTTACCATAGCATTCTCCTTTAAACTGGTTATTCTACAGCGTTATTAATTACAATCAAACCAGAAGCGTGATCACTTGGCTATTCGTATCTTCGACGGACCGGAAGTAAGACGAAATGAGGTCAAAGGAATTCCCTTTTGCTTTTGTTTGTAGCAGTCTGTATCACCCAGTCCCTATATTAACCTATCCGTTACTCGAAATTTGCCTTGGGACTGGGTGATCCAGACTGCACCAAAACAAAACACGCGTCTTTGTCGGTTAAAAAATGTCAGGCATTTGAAGTTATAGAGTTGCACTAGACGTCGTTTTTTACATTGATTTTAAATATTTTAAATTTATTAGTCAATTTAAAAAATAACGGTTTCTGAAAAATTGATGAAACAAATAATGATCGATGCTCAATAGCAGACATTGACCGAAACCTGAGATGTCCAGTTTATTTCTTTATTTCGGGCACTTCATTTTTGCCGACTAAAAGGCAAAATATTTTTTTCCCCAAAAATATTAACTTTTTATCACTTTACCTATCTACCCAACAGACATGCACCCCCTCCCCCCCCCCCCACACACACACATTTACGTCTCTGCAAGTTGCAGAAATAAAATTGTTTATTTATAGATATCACCTTTATAAGGCCATTTTACTTTTCATCAATTAAATTTTCCTAAGTATGTATTTTCTTAAGTATGTCACCTACCAATGAGAGTATTCAGCTGTCATTCGAAGATTCTTAATTCGCGATCAGCTATGAAGGTCAATTTTAATTTTAGTACCACTAGTTAAAACTAGTGAGTATTGTGAGATGATAGCAGACGAAACTATCTTCAACGATTCAAAACAATATGGTGGGTGATTTACTCTGTGTTATTAGTAATACTAGTCAAATAGTAGAAAGAAGTTTTATTTTAATCCCTTCAAGTGCCTGTGTATTTATTCAGGTAGAAATTAACGCCACGTGCTTTGTACACGCAATGTACTATCAACGCTAAGGATGCGTACTATCATAATTTGTAGTCGTACTGTTTTCAAGCTATTTGAAGTCGTTACCTACAAATGAGTGACAGCTAGATTTGGGTTAATTAGGTACCTTGCAAGATTCATTGACAGTTTCTGATATCATCTATTTCTGGAAGTGGGTTACTGTTGTCACGTTTCGTTAAAAATGATATGTTATTACCTTAATGAGCAGACATCAGGTCAGAGGTTTCTGGCCACCTGGTTTAGTACAGATTAACCCAATTTGAAGTTGAAGTAACTGGGTGCCCGAATGAAACACTTACCCATGTAATGGTCCGCCATAATAGCTGACGTACCTAAACATACAAATTAGACCAGCGCGATCATAGTGGGACGCCCAACGGCCTTAAATTAGAGGCCGGGGTAGAGACAATGTTGTGTTTCAGCTGTAGGATCTGAGTTCGAATATTCAGTAGTATATCTGTCCTTTGGGGGCCGTGACACGGGATAAAAGTCACAAGATAGTGTTACCACTGTACACTGTGTTTTGTCTAGTGACCAGGATAGTGTCACATCTGTTCTCGGGTTTAGTACAAGTATAGGCGTGCTTTTAAGGGGACATAACTTGCGCGAAGTTACAAATTCGTGACTTTTGGCAGTGTATGATGGTGTGTGTGTGTGAGTGTGTATGTAGGCGGGGGGGGGGGGCATAACTTATAAAACCTTTAAATACGGACCATAGCTCTATATGAATGCCTCTAATATGGTTTTTAAACAATGTGTTATTCACTTTATCTGAATGGCATTGGGGAACAGACTTAGCCCGCGTAAAACCCCTCAAATAATTTGACTATTATTACAAAAATGAATGTAATTTCATTTCGGTACAGTACCTTTATTATGTTACAGAATTATTTTGCCATGTGTACTTGATGTCTTTTGATTCGGAAATTCTCTTTTAAAAATGTGTTAGCCGAGAAAGTTCATCGGAATTTCCTTGCATGGGTTCCCTTTGTCAGTGGTGCAGGACGGGGGACCTGACAAGAACAGTTGTCTAGTCGTTTAGATGGGACGAAAACCCCGTCTTCATTAGCCCAGTCGAAGCAGAACAGTAAGACGTTCATCCACACTCCATTTTATTTCATTTCTTTTATAAAATGGTACACTGTCTTTAAATTGTTTCTTTTTCTTTTCTGATCAGCATTTGTAGGCATCCACTTTTTATTTTTTAAGAACAATGTTTCATTTCGGTACAGTGCTTTTAATATGTTACGAAATTACCCCCCCCCCCCCCACACACACACACACAACCTCCAGTCTTGTCTGATATGATCTGATCAGCATTACAGGCATTCTCTTTTCTTAGAAAAATAAAAATGTTACGAAACTTTTTTTCTATCTTTATTCGATGCCGTGTCTGATTAGCCGTGTCTAACTCGGTATTTTCCATAATATTCGAAAAAAACAAAATGCACTATGCCAGATTTAGATAAAGAACAGGCAATTCTCGTTATAATACATAAAATATGGATAATGAAAGGGGAATATGTTGAAAATTTCAAACAAGTCACTTCATCAAGGGCGGGGTTATGTTCATTTGAAGAACAGCATAGTTTCGATTGTTATTGCTATCGTTGTTACGATAACAAACAAAGTATCGATTATCCATTTTTAATTATTAACTGGCAATCCTGTTTAAATCCATTGAAAATCAAAACCATCCGATGACCTAGAGAGTTGATTATGAGTTTGGCATATGAAATAAATGTCTAATTAATGATTTATATAACACTTAAGGCCAAAACGAAAGCTTTGCATTTCTTGCATAATGCATCTTTAAAAACACGAACTAGAATTCAATAATGGACCATTTCAATCAATATTGTTATCTTGTTTTATCTTGAAGTGAAAATATGGGATCCTAATATACAATATTTAAGACACAGTGAACATTTTATAATCAGTACACGGGCCCTGTTTTCTGTGGTTTCCAGTGCCATTTGTAATGAACAAAGAAAGCACATCCTACAAGACAATGCGGGAGTAATTTGTAATGGTTTGTTAACTGACGACAAAATAATAATGTGTAGAATGGTTTTTAAAAGCAGGAGTAAAGGACTGTCGTTTAGTTTGGACTGTTCACGTATTTCACAGGACTTAATTGATTAGAAATTACAATATTTCTTTAAAAAAACAAATGAATATAAATCACGTTATATGCATTCATATTACATCAATATGTGCTTTTAAACCCATTTTCGTCTATCTTAAGGTTCCAATGCGCTCTTTAAAATAATGTTTCATTTCGGCACATCACCTTTAATAATTATATAACAAAACTAAAGGCCTTTTTTGTCTTTATGATGAAATGCATTCTCTCTTTTTTTTAAAAAAATATTGTTTTATTTCGGCACAGAGCCTTTAATATGTTACGAAACTATTTTTTTTTTATCTTTATTTGATGTCTTGTCTTATTAGCAGTTATGGGCATTATCCCTTCATCAATTTACATAACTTAGATGCTATTTTCGTTATACTGTAAAGATAGTAGGCTCTATATAGTAACAACACCTATTTAAAGTCTTCTACTGATTGTTGTACGGGGTGGGTATGTGTAATAATAATTTTATCTTTTATATTTTAGCCTGTTTCTGGGGTTGAGATGGTGAGAGGGGGGTATCTGATGAGAAATCCCGACCCAGATTTTCCGGCGTGGTTCCCCCTTGTCAGTGATGCAGGACGGAGGGCCTGACAAGGACAGCTGTCTAGTCCTTCGGATGATACGAATAACCGAGGTCCCGTGTATTCATTGAAATGCACGTAAAAGATCCCTTGGCAGTTGGAATTCGATATAAGAGTAGGCGATAGTGCCGCTGCCCGGGCAAAATTTCCCTCATAGCACACTGTATGGCGTATGCCTGTCTTCATTAGCCCAGTATAGGAGCAGAACAGTAGGACGTTAAACCCCATTTCATTTCATTTCATTTCCAAACAAGCGAGCCCATTTTAATAGTTCTGATGCTTTCTTTCCAAGGCGGGGGGGGGGGGAAATATAACCAATGTTTCCCCTTTACCCTATAATATCAATCAATGAATTCCCGGAAAGAATTCCAAAATATTGGTTTTTATACAAATCAGCAGGCGCGTGTGGAGAGAAGGGTGGGGGGGGGTCTCGCGCAGAGTTTGTTTTTTCACCAACAGTCAAAGAAATAACGTTAAACAAACAAACATGCCAAGCATTGCTGCGGATTTGGTCTCGCTCCACCATAATTCTATACATATGCATCTAAAGGAGCAGAAATCTTGTCGGAGAGCTTCGGATTTTATCCAATTCTCCGGTAATCGTCCGGACCTAACACCAAACTTGACGTTATCCCCACCCCGGACCCTCCCCAGCTCAAATTCCTGAACATTGAAAGTACATATGGGTGGGCTGATGAAATGAACATCGCGTAGCATCATCCGACATACTATACATGGTACTGGTAGAAATAGTGTTTAATTCTGGCAAGAACGCTCAGTGTTGCAAGGTCTTCATGATAGCTTAGGGGGTTATTATGAGTGTGACCATCTTCTACTAATTATAGTAAATGAATAGGTTAAAACTAAATACACAGATCTAATTTTACAACATTCATTAATTCATTAATCTCCATAGAGCATACCGAGCGCCTTATAAACTACACTTATAACATAGTCGGAGTTTACAGAATCAAAGGGTGACTTCTTGGATTCTATATTTTATTCTAGCACAAAAACAAAACTAGAAAATACATTAGAACTACAAACATGTAAGAACTAGGAATATAAACATTTGACATACTGTATGAATAATGAACGCCTGAAACTGCAAAATAGTAACTGTACAATATATAGTAGGCACAATCAGTGATCAATAGAGGAATAATTTGGACTTAGTGTTTGTGGAATCCTCAGTGGCTCATTGGATAAGGCACTGGTCTGTGTTGGTCAAGAAAAGTACCAGGTTTTCCAGCGTGGTTTACCCTTTATAGTAGTGCAAGGCTGGAAATAAGAGTAGCCCAGTTGGTGTTGAACCGTAGGACATTAAAACTCATTTCATTGTAAGTGTTCGTGTGTGTGAATAATTCTAGGATCTCCCATTTATTAATTTACCCACCTGCATTGACACTATTTATATATTTGAAACATGCTTATTTCCATGGGTTTCACCTCGGCTAATGTATGTCGGCATGGACCGTTTGTCTTAATAATTGACCACAATTGATCGTGACCCATCGGTCATTTTACACGTCGTAAAACTAGCCTATTTTGCCAACCCCACTTTGAAACACAGCTTTGATCGCATAGCTATGAACATCAATTGACTGTCTACTCGACAGAAACTAGGTCATTTCGGGACAGAAGTCAACAGATTAATCAAGTGATGAGAATATTGAGTTAATGTTATAAAACACTTATTGTAAATCTCTTATAACATACAGTCTGTGCTTTAATTGGTAACCCTGGGTACGAATTGAGCTATTTCAGTTGGATTACGTCATTGCTGAGACTAAAAACATGCCAACATTAACTGATAACAATACCCTATAGTATAATCTTTGAATGGCATGTAGCGATTGAAAATAATATAACACAACACAGTTCTATGGATAGAGTTTCATGATTGTTAACGTATGGTTTCTCTTATTATTGTTTAATGTACCTATATATCACACTGTCACACTTTTTTCCTGATTTGTAATTTGTATGCTTGATAACGACCAGTGAATTCTTGTCGAAACGCCGTGTGTATATAATATAGTGATTGTTATCCATAGAACTGTGTTGTGTTATAATATCCTATACATGTAGTACTTTACTTCCAGAAACACCACGTTGCTATAGAAAGTGAAGCAATGGTTAAAGATACAATATGCCCGATTTAGAAAAAGAGCTAACCGCTCTTGCTAAAATAGTTCAAAAATAAGATAATTAAAAATGGATGCATTTAAAAATTCAGTCAAATTATTTTATTATGAGTGAAGTTATGAATGGCTATTTTGTCGGGTTTCAGATAGCGGATGCAATTCAATTTGTATTTGTATTACTTTTTAATACTTTTAATCCAAATAAGATTTTAATAAGACTAGAAAGCGACGTAGAACTATATTGTTAGCAGTCTTCGTGAGTGACGCCATGCATTTGCCAGCCATACTAGCGTTTAGGGCAGATATGGCGAGCATTATCTGGCCCACGCAATATATAAGCCATCCGGTGACCCAGTCATTTGATTATGGGCTGTTCATGTAAAAATATGTGTCCAAATAATAATTTATATAAGACAAATTTAGCCCTCGCATAATGCATCTTTAATGAGATGGTTGAGGGATATGGTGATATAACTACTAGAGTATAAAATCATATAAATATTTATATTAAAATAGTTAGAACAAGTCTAATAGAAAGATAACAGTAAAAAAATAATGTTGAATATATTAATGGTAAAAATGATTAAAATAATTCAAGTATATATAAAATATATAATTTTAGACATTTTGTTTTTCGGGCTCCTTCACGGGTTGTAATACATCTTTATACTCTGACAACGGGAGGTTAAATTTTTTCTCTGTATTAAGGGTATCTTCGAGCGCCTCGCCACGAGTTTCCGGTAACGTTAGAACGGAACACGTGTCTATCGCCATTAATATACAGATTATAACATACGGCACATAACCACCTTTAACAGCCTATAATAAAACCGAAAAGATGTATTAATACATGTATATACATATAGTCTGTCCAAAAGTATTTCAGGTTCAAGTATAGAGGTCTACTAACTGTGAGGGGATCAGTGAGATCTGGCTCTGAAAATAGAGGGGAATAGTGTAGATTGCCCTGGTAGACATATGAAAAAGTATAGCTGTAAATTTCAAACAGATGTTACATCCAGATCAATTATTGATTGGATTTCAAATTTAATACACGTCAATATAACACACACTAACAGTAAAAGTAAGATCAATATTACATATAACACACACACAAGCGGAAAGAGTAAGGCTGGGTTGAGCTGGTGTCGCTCGCCTTAATTCGAAAATAAAACGATTACACATCATTAAGGGCAAGGTAAAGTGACAAAAATTGTCATAACACCTGAAATGGTGGGGGGGGGGCTCAAAAAATCGTTCACAACACCTTTATGTTAGTGCCTTTATTTTGGTGTCTAGACGTGCTTGAGATGATATTGAACAATAAAACAATGGATGAAAAAAAAAATAATGACTTTGGAAAAATACCATTCAGCACTGCGCAGCTACAGGGTAAACAACTCAACATGGGAAATCACAAAGTCTCATAGAGATACCTGAATATATACACTACAACCGTCAAGACATCAAATTTTGAAAACTATCTTTGTTTTAGCACACCACGTCCATATAATTAAACTTTTATTTTTCAAATATCCTCCACTTTTTTTTTCAAGGGACTACTTTTAGACTTTTTGTATGGAGTACCATCATAAACATCATTTGGATTAAATGTTTCGGGTCTGTATGGAATATTGTAAATACTGCATCACAATTTCCTTGAAACTGCTTTTGGTTTTCAGCAATTTTTTTATAATGAATAGGACTACACATTGTTATCATTTGTATTGCTTCTTAAATCATCCCTTGAAACTTTGTGCCAGGAAGCATATAAGATGCACTGACAATTAAAGATTGAACACTTTTATTAATTTTTACTGTAAAAAAATTTGTTATAAATTTTATTCAATATTTATTCACACTCAACACATTGTTTAATCTTAGATTGTACACTAATAGTCCACTATTGAATGTGGAAAGGTCCAGCCGAATGATTGATTGGAAAATATGATGTGTTTCAAATGGTACTCCATAGAAATGAATTTGCCCCACAAAAATTATATCTTGGTAACAAATTCTACTATTCACCAAGTTTCATCACACTCACTCAATTAGAATCACAGTTATCGTTTCCCAAAGCATAGATAAATAAGATTGCGCGTCTCTGATATCCTGAGTAGAAAATATTTCCCATCGAATGTAGACTTGACAATCACTTAAAGAACATATCCAGCAGGTTTAACTATCACAATTAGAAGCAGAGTTATTCTGTCCCAAAAAGGCGACAAACTCGTTTTCTCAGAAAGGCAGAGTACAATAATTGGAGCTTAGACAAAATTTATATCAAATCTGAAATTTGGATTCGCAGTGTTTCGCTTCAGACAAAAAGTGTTTGAAAAGTAAACTTCTCATATCCTAAACACGCTTTTCAAATTCTGTAACAGACCTTCACAAAGACCGGAAAAGCATGAGTGGAAGCTAATTATGTTGTTATAATAAAATGAAATGAAGACGGCGTTATAATAAGTAAGGGTCGATATTTAATTATTATACCAATCTGAACGTATGAATAAAAGATAATGAAACAATTTACAATGTTAAAAAATTTGTTATATTACAAGAATTACTGTTTTAATAGTTCGAAAGACATATATATGTGTCAAATAGTTTTTTTTTACTATTTTTTTTTTAGTTTAACTGCCCTGGTCTATATCCCTTTATGAATATTACAAAAAAAAAAACATTGCTCATGTTCTGCCTGTTAGTCTGCCTGTCAGTCTACAATGTTACCGACCATTAGTAGCAAATTGTTGGTCAAGCCTGACGTTTGATTATAGGGTTCAGATCCAAAGTACTATAGATGATTGTTATGTAACCGAAGACAATTGTTTGTAATTTAGTCCAGAACACCTAATTAGATTTTGCTGAGTGGACCTTACCACCCCCATCCTCCTTTTTAGACGATAGCAAACCAGCATTTCCTTTTCAAAAATTTGCCAGTCAGACATTTTTACTGAGCAATAGTTATGCAACCCTAACCCTGGAATTACCATATCAATTTTTTCATTGATGATGTTGGTGTAAAATTCCACATAATTTGGTGGTAATATTGAGTTGCAAACATGCCCCCCCCCCCCCCACACACACACACACGCTGCCTTCCCATACCCAAACCAACCTTACCATTGTTTACTCACCAATGATATGACTTGTGACGCGAAAACTCCTCCGATCCTTGAAATAGTTCCAGCACATCCATAACCAAGATTTCTACAATAAAACAACATTATCATAAATAGACTAATATACATATTAGAGTAAGGGGGGGGGGGGGTGTTACCGGAGCGCTAAATATACCAGAGTCTGTTTAGTTAGCTTCCATTGCAGTCACTTGGTAGAGTAATGAATATTTAAAAAAAATCACTTCTATTACAGTCTACTGATCTGGAATAGTACAAGGCTTTAGTAGTTAATGGTAAAACAATCTGATTAAGATACGGATCTATATTTCGTTCCGTTTTTTTTATACTTTCGATTGCCTACACTACATGAAGATCTGACCGGTTGAAGCGATGGGTCGCGTCAGAGGTCATACCATCGGCTTTTGACCATATAACGTTAGACATTTGATTAACCAATCAGCATTGATGTTACTAGTGGATTACCCACCGTTCCATCAAAACACGACTAAAGCTCGCCGTAACAGACGGTTTTATTGGCTAATTCCACACACAATTCAGAACACGTCATTATTAACAACTCCTCCAGATCCTAGTGTAGTAAAGACAAGTAAAACGAAATTTTGAACTATAAAAGCGAAACGAAATAGGATCTGTGTTTTAATCGGATTGATGGTAAAGTAACGTAATGAAGTTTACCCTTCGTCCAGACGCTTGAAACTATTGGCACTTTATTTAATGCCCTTTAAAGCAGGAGTAATATATGAGTTTGAAAGTAATGTGTCATGGCTACACTAATTTACATATCCCAAAGCATTATGTCAATAAAATAAAATCCCCTAATACTTGTTATCATCATTCTTGTTCAACATAAAAAAAACCTGAGCCCATAAAACTAAAGTAAATTGGTTTATCTCCCTTTCATGAACCAGGAGTCGCTAGATCTTATATTTTATTTCACTACAGCCGTTTCTGAGGGATCACGTGGCTAAGTGAGTAGGACGCTGGCTCTCTATCCTGGAGGTCGGGTGTTCGATCCCTGCATTAGCCGAGAAAGTTCATCCAGATTTTCCGGCGTGATTTCCCCTTGTCAGTGGTGCAGGAAGGAGGGTCTGACAGGGACAGCTGTCTAGTCATTCGGATGGAACGAAAAACCGAGGTCCCGTAAAAGATTCCTTAGCAGTTGGAATTTGATATAAGATATTAGCCCAGTTTAGGAGCAAAACAGTAGGACGTTAAACCCCATTTCATTTCATTTCATTTCACAATCGTTTCTGTCAAAAAGAAAATAAGCTAATCTCTTACGTGATAAAACTAATAAACCATAACAATGTAGGCAAAAACAACAGTGGTTTGCCATTATTTAATAATAAAACGATTCAATATTATAGTCAAAAATGTATCCTATATAACCATAATTCTGTGCCAAAATTTCGACACGAAGGTATGCAAATTACATTCTTTTAATTAAATAAATTAATTGTAAAACCAAAAGAGATATATTGTAGCTATCTTTACATGTTAGTGCTGGCACGGTATTTAACATAAATTGATACCAACTTTGATAACCGAGTCTACTTACCTTTTAGTTATACAGTATATTAACCAGGTTTCTTCAGTTTATGGAAATAATCGAGTCTACTAACCTTATTACTGTGGGGTATAATTCAGCAGTAAATGGGGACATACATGACCAACCGCATGTCGTGCAAAACTTTGATATCATCGCACAGATACTGACATAATAAGCTTTATGTTCTGGTGGGGCTAAAGAAGGAAAAGAAATGAAATAAAACCTCAACAATCTTTATTCTGTGATACTTGGGCTCTCGTGTCCATAACTTTGTTTAGAACTGTACAAGTATGAGTTTGAACTCCAAGACCAGAAAGTTCAACACTCAGCAACCTCAAAACCCTTACATAAGACGTATTACAAGCCATATCCAACCGAAACAAATGACGATTAAATAAAATTTCGCCATTTTGGATTTCATTTTAAATTTCTACCGTCATGGATTCTCGAAATTGACTTTTGAGATCAGAATTGAACCTAGCGACATAGACAACCACATAAATGTCAGGCTACAAGTCATATCCATTAGGACAAAATGATGATGAACTTAAAATCCGCCATTTTTGAGTCCATTTTGAATTGCTGCCATGTTGGATTTAGAAGTTTATCTTTAAATTCAGAGATATCAAAAACCATATATAAAGAGACAGTAAAGGTCATATCTTACGATATCTTCGCTGGTTATTTGTAGAAAATACCATTTTATTACGATTAATTAAAATTCCGCCATTTTGGTTTTCATTTTGGCGGCAATTTGGAATTTCTACTGTCGTAGATTCTTGAAATTCTTTTTACAATTCACATCAAACAGGAATAAAGGACGATTAACTTAAAATCGGTCTTTTTTGGATTCTGTTTTGGCTGCCATGATGGATTTTTGAAATTATCTTTAATTTCAGAGACATCGAAAACCATATAAAAGACGCACAAAGTCACCTCTTACAAGATTCTCGCTGGTTATATGGGGAAAAGGCCTTTTTTATTAACAAATTTGGCAGCCATATAGCCGTCCATGTAAAAAATACATTTTTGTTGTTTTTTTTCTTTAAATTCGTTTTTCCGGCACATTTCGCCCCTATAACTATTTTTTATTTGACGAATTATCCCACCACTAAAACACACTGGTTACGAGATATCGTTCTTCGAAACTTCGTGAGCTATATTGATTATGTTATTTCGCCTTGGCTGAATTCGGCCGAATTTGAATATAATGTTGTCTGACATAATTAACCCAAACTGCATTGGCTGCTTTTGCAATTTGTTTTGGATAAAGCGTTATCCCTCCCCGGTTATAGACATACTACATATGCTATATATTATCACGCTGCAGACTGGATACACTCGACTTCATGTTTCAAGGTTTAAGTACTTCTATATTTACAAATATATGTCAGCTAGGATTTTAATTTTAAATAAAATATGTAGAATGTTGAACTAAATTACATCTTACATTGTCATAATAAATTGTTTTGTATAATTTAAACAATATTTTTATTACTTGGCATATTTTCAACTTAAATGAGAATGGTGACCCATATTACATACAAAAGTACATCATTAATTGTTAGTTCTGTGCACCGTTCAAATAGATAAATAAAATGAGAAGTGGAATCAGGTGTTCCAAAAAGAGTACATTCTCCATGCTAATAACAGGATCAACAACCTAACACCCAACCCCCACTTTTTAAACAGGTATTCCTTACGCTTCGCATTAAAAGCAACTGATACCACGGTATAGGTAGGGGTGGGGAACATTCGATTGCGTCAGCGCCCACAATCCCCAAAAAGGGTTTACCACACTTTTTGAGCACCAAAAGGGCGTGGTTTAAAAAAAAACTACTCCTGGCTTGCGAAGATATTTTTCAAAGGCTGCAAATAACGCTGGCAGAGGACACTGACAGAATCAAATGTAAAAGTATAGCAGAAATTGTAGATTTATCTACCTACCAGTCAATGACGCTATAATAGCCCCAAGGGCCCCTAAAGCTACACCCATATTAGCCATGGCTGTTGACCATCTTCTTCCAAACCGTTTTCTAATTGAAAAAAAAAATCCAAATAAATCAATTAAAGATTAAACTTGTAAATAATTACATCTAAAACAACCCTTAAAAAGTGCGGGGCCCTTATTCACGAAAACTTAAACTAAGATAAAATCGAAATTGTAAGAAATACTGCAATTCGATTGGCTGACCAGTAAAATCAATTTGCATATATCCAATGAAGTTGCAGTATTTCTTAAAATTTTGATTTTATCTTAGTTTAAGTTTTCGTGAATAAGGGCCCAGGTCTTAAAGCTACAATTTCATATTTTTAAGTTATATTTTTAAAATTTATTAAAATAAAGCCTTAAAATAGATGGTATCTATAAACAGTCCTACCTTGTTAAAGAATAATCCTATTAATCCTATAATTCACTATTGCCAGTTGAGAAATTGGCAAAAATATCATTTTCATCTTCAAATTCAAACGTTTGAAGTTAGCTACTCCATGGTGGAGAATAGAAAACAAGGGAGGTAATTGTGTTATTATTTCCGGTGTAAATGAGTTTTAAGTGTGAGAATGACACCTATGATCGTATAATAGTGAGTTGACAACCTATTGAGCAAAAGACATAGAAATAAAAATGTTTTGACTTTCTTAGAAAATATGAAATTGTAACTTTGAATAAATGAGGTCAATTTGGTAAAATTTGTATTATTGATGGAAATTCTCCATCATTGCACCTCTTGGTTGATATTATTAAATTATCCCATAAAACATATACCGGTACTCAAAGTTCAAGTAAACAAGATCCAGGTATTATATATATTTAATGAAAACATTACATTGTTAAAGATATCGCTTTCACTCTAACTAGGAGGTAGCCAAGGAACGGGTTATAGATATATTATGTAAGAGCTAAATCTGTCTATTTCAGATCTGTATTTTGGCTTCAAATGTTATATAAACTATTTTAGACATTTATTGACATGTCAAGCCTATAATCAACCCACAAGAGCATAGGGTGGCTGAGATTTATATGGAATAAAACACCCGTCAGATAAAAAAAATAACAATAAAATTGATAATCGAGACTTAACCTCGATTGTCAGGGGCCGTTGCTGCGACAATAAACAATCTACGGTATATCTCCCAACAGTCCTAACTTCGTTCAGATTAAAGTAATTCGAATGAAATTTCAATATGTTCATTTTTCATTATCTATGGTTGAACCATTATAGCAAGAACACCCAGCTATTTTTCTACATCTTTAATAAATACCCCCCCCCCCCCCCCCCGAGTATTTGAGAATTAAATCACTGTAGATGAGTTAGAGACCTTTGCTGTCACGTTAGATACAAACTGAAACATATTTTAGTTCAAGTGAAATCACTTGATTGAACAGTGTAGGGTTTTTAAGATAACCACATCAACCACAAAACGTATTTAAATCTACTAAATATCACCTGCATCTGATGGCATCGAGAGTTGATTGTGATCTAGGTATGTTAATTAATGTCTAATTAATAATTTATAGAATATTTCAGGCCTAAAAAAAGACCTGCAATAGACAGATTTAGCTCTTGCATAATGTCTGTTTAATGAAAGAGGACGTTAACGCTAGTCAATGTGTATTTTACTGCAACTGGTGGCAGCTGTGGCATTTATCATCTATTTTGATTGATTCTAAGGTGAGATAAACTCAACCCTAATAATCATAAATACAGCAAGCAGACATTTCCGTGTTTTTATCTCAACCAGGTCCTGTTCTTTTAGTTAAAACAGTAGATAGAAAACATAATTATCTAATTTTGTTTCAAATAATTACAATATTAATGTGAGTAAACCAAGAGCCCTGACAGGCGTAAATGGCGATCAGTGTGGTGGGTTTGATTAGCAAAGGCTCTCAATACATTAATAATTTCTATCCATGAGACATTTGACATTGCTAAGTTTGGGGCAACTTTATTTTATTCATTGGAACTGCAACCCTACATTCATACCAAATAGAAATATATCTAAATTTCCCCATAAAAGTTGGCCGAAATCAAAGTTGGACTGAACAAATTGAAATCTAAACAGCATTTCTGCTAAATTTGTTTTGAATCCATTTGAGTGGTCATATTTAGATAAAATTGGCCTAAGGTCACAAATATAAATAAGCAATATCAAAGTGACAGATTTAAATAATTTGGATAAAAAGCATGAAGCAATATATAGGTGAAAAGGCAAATACAGGTCAAGCTCAACACGTCGGTATAAAGCCAACTACATTTTAATAATTTAAATCAGGACACATGAAACATACTTACCAAACACAGGTCCATTGTTCAGATTTTCTCATTAAAGTTAACCACCCCACCCCACCCCACAACCTACACCCAATACAGCTACCAAATTTGGAGGAAAGCGAATTGGGTGAAAATTGAAAATGTACAAATCGACGGACAGAACGATATGAAATATCCTGATGGTTACATCTTTTCATCAGGCTTCTAGGTCTACTATGTGCTTGATAACGAAAGGGGGTTACTTGTCGAAACATTGTGCTTTTAGAATAAAACTAGTGATTGTATCCCATAAAGACTGTGCTCTGTTACTATGTTGTATTTACTCTTCTTATGCAGTGGGTTGTAATCACATTACTAGATAACTAAAAATAAACACCATGTCAACTCCCTGTCTGACACCAATTAATTACTCGTAAAAAAAAGTAATAATATACCCCTCCTATATCTCTAGAGTTCTATCTGGAATTCGACAAGACTGTCAATCGGGGGGGGGGGGGGTATTTTGGATTTTGAGTGTTAGTATCAAGCGGATGCTGTCTGCTGCTTAAGCTGAATGTCAGACCATCTAAATGATGTTATCTATGATTGCTGACATCTACTTTTCTGTTAGCCTGTCTGGACACTAACATCAACTGTTTTGGAAGCCTGTCTGGATGACGCTACCTACTGTTCTGTCAGTCTGTCTGGATGATGCTATCCGCTGTCAATCTGTCTGGATGGTACTCTCTGCTGTTCTATCAGCCTGTACAGATGGTGCTATTTTCTGTTCTCTAAACCTGTACAGATGATGATATCTAGCATTTCTATGCTAGCGCTTGCTTGGGTGATACTATTTCGATTCTAGCTACTGATTAACTATTACGGAAGATACTATTGTGATTTTCAGTTGGGTGGCAGGCTAGCCGCCTTTGGGGTTCTATCTGGGGATCTAGCTGATATTGGAGCTATTTGGGATATTAGTTGGGTATAAGCTGGACTGAATCCGGTCTAGGGTTGTATCAAGGTTCTGCTGCTATCTAGGGGATCATCCCTGGAGTTCCAGTACAGATGACGTTTTTTGTGGTTCTAGCCAGATGCTATCTACGATTCTGTCGGGATGATGATTTTGTGCTTCCATTCAAATGTTAACCAACCTGCCACTGTCGTTGGTTATAGTTTATTACTAACCGATATGGGCTGCTCTTTTATTGTTATGTCTTGAAAATAGCAAGGCGATGCTCACCTAACAAAACTAATGGGCCACGCCTGAATCTGATCGGTCAGATCATGGTAACAACACAAATATTGTAAATACAAGTTTCCATATAGTTATAAGCTTTAAGATACAGATTTTTTTCATTTTTTGTGAGTTTTGTGCAGTGGTGCCCCGGATCCAGTAGAAAGCCCCCCCCCCCCACCTACAAAACAAAAGTCTTATATTCTGGACTGTTGTTAGCCAACAGCTGTAAATGTAGCTATCATAGAGCATAACACATTTGGAAGATTTGGTCATATGTAGCGGTAAACACTCGTCGAACTATATGAAAACCTGCTTTTACAAACGAGTCAGTAAAAGGAAAGTGTCTTACCTGTTAACAAAGAGTAGAACCAGTAAGGATGCTGGAATCTCCACGATAGATACTAGAAAGAAGTTGAGATAAAAATTCCCTGACATATTTTGTACTCCAAGGATAAGGCACCAATAACAAACAGCGGAGGTAAACCTTTTGATTTCAAATATAAGATACAATTTACATATCAAACATTTCACTATAAATAGGTCGGAATTAAAGAGACACCGTGTTGGGATCTGTAAGACAAACAATAAAACTTATTTTATTTAAAAACGTTTAAGTAATGGTTAGATTTATCATAGGGCGATGTCTTTCCGGACATGAAATAAAATTATATAAAATGAAACGAAACGAAACGAAACGAAATGAAATATTTTACGCTTCTGTTCCAACGTGGCCGCAAAGTGGGCTATTTTTGAAATTTGGTCTGGAAAGCAGTGCTACAGACTAATATTATTTCGTTTTCAAACAGGCATAGAAATAACAATTTTTAATTGTACACTGTACTTCCCAAAATGTAGACCAGTGGTGTATAAGTATCTAGGGCAAACTCGTGGAAAAGTAAAAAAAACACCATGTATATGGTACTATTAAGGCACGCAATTAAAACCACCAGTTTATGGCACTATTAAGGCATACAAGTTGAAAGTGTGTTTATATCAGCGATAATTAAAAATACTGTGATAACTTTAATCGATAAAACACGGAGGACTGATCATGTCTGGCGAAAAATCAATGTATTATTTGTATTATTGTTACTTATCAAGAACTTAAAACAAATAACGTGGTTTTAATGGCAACTAGTGGACAAAGTCCATCAGCAAGTGCAAAACGTTGCTTAATAGCAAAAGGAAAGCATACCAGTTAATGCGAATCATTATTACAAGAACCAAACGCAATGAGCACTGGCGAACAAATTGTAAGTAGACCTACCATAGATGGGAGATGTTACTATACCACATGAACGGGTGGCATAAGGATCGTAAGTGAGCATGGTTACTAAAGCACCACAAGCAACTGTAGCATTACCGGGCAATGATACTATACATATCACGAGCTGACAGTCAGGATCATAACCACAAGGGCCAGTATTCGGCCAAATATATGGAGTTCTAATCGAAAAAATGAAATGAAATGAACTGGGCTAAACAAGACGGGCATACGCCATACAGTGTGCTATGAGGGAAATTTTGTCCGGGCAGCGGCACTACGACCTACTCTTATATCGAATTCCAACTGCCAAGGGGTCTTTAACATGCACGCCAATGTGTACACGGGACCTCGGTTTTTCGTCCCATCCGAAAGACAAGACAACTGTCCTTCTCAGGCCTTCCGTCCTGCTTCACTGACCAGGGGGAACCACACCGGAAATCTGGATGAACTTTCTCGGCCAATGCAGGGATCGAACACTCGACCTCCAGGCTAGCGAGTCAGCGTCTTACTCACTTAGCAACCGTGATCCCCAAATCGAAAAAGATTTCACCAGAATTACAAACTGTAAGGAACACCAATGAGCAGTGTTTTACACCACAAGAACCAATGTAAAGGGGCATCACTGGTAAATGTTTAAAGTTTTCACAAATGTTTGAGCACCTGGTATATAGGAATCAGAAAGTGTTCCAGATAAAGGTGTTACGGTATGACAAAATGAAGTCAAATATTTTCAAATTAAGAAATTATGTACCAAACAAATGTCTATTTGGCTATCTCTTGCTTCATTTTCTCAAGTAAACGTATATTATCCGTACAGGGTGTCTCTTTAAACCTTAAAAGTAAACCCATGTGCACCTATGCACAAACAGGATCCAAACAATCAGGATATATCGACTTCTTCAGATTCAATGAAATGCACGAATAGACTGGTCCATTGGACATTTTCAATAAAGGTTGTACTCACTGCGGACATAGACATGCTTTCAATATTGGGTATAATATATATATATATTTCTGAGTACAAGTTGTCAAAATCACATCCATTGTTTGCTAATCAAAGAGAAACTGGTTGACTGAGTCTACGTTAGTAAAGATATCTTCAATATACATAATATACAGAATATCTTCTGATTCCATATTAACGCTAAGGTTTAAAATAAAAAATTGCAACTTCATAATAAATCATGTCAATTAAAGATATATTCCTTAATGATACATTATGTAAGATTTGGATAAAGAACTGGCAGTTCACGCTACAATAGTTTAATAGAAAAGGGAAAGTATTGATAATTTCAGTCAAATTACTTTATTCTGGGCAAATTTATCAGTTTTGATAAGAATAGCGTAGTCTCTATTTCCATTGTTACGATAATAACCACAGTCTTGATTGGGGTGTTCCCACTTAGCCGGCAGGCTTTGATGTCAAATTTTGCCGCTAATCCAGAGTTAATCCTAGAACAATGGTGTTATACTATAGTCCATATCTTTTTTAAGACTAAAACTGTATTGATTTTAACAAATTTAACTTTTATTAAATAACATTAAATAGCTTACACATATAAAAATATATTGATTTTAACAAATTTAATATTTATTCAATAACATTAAATGATTTACACATATAAAAATGCATTACAATTTACACATTTAACTTTTATTAAATAGCATTATATATTATTGGAGATAAAGCGAATATTAACCTGAACGTTTGCCATTTTAAAATAAATATAATTTCGACACAGATCGACCATCTATTTATATTAATATAGTGAATTGAATTCATGTTTGAAATCATAACGCCGGCATGAACTGTGTTCAAAATGTCATTAATTAGTTGGTTAATAAATTTTATTAAGAGGGATTAAGAGCTCATTAACGCTGAACACTAGTGAACAGTTCTTGAGTGACTACTTTTAAACAGACTATAGTTTTAAGATCAATCAAAGGATTAACAGTCTGCCGGCTAAGTGGGAACACACCTCTTGATTATCAGTTTTTTAATTAAATTATCAAATGGCGTTTGTGTATCAATCCTTTAAAACCACGACCATCTAGAGAGCTGATTATGGGCTGTGATGTGAATAAATGTCTAATTAATAATTTATATAACATTTGAGGCAAAAAGAAAGACCGACAATGGACAGATTTAAGATATATATTATTTATTGGTCAGTCAGTCATTTTGTGAGGATTTAACACTATTGCCTTTAGTTTAAACCATTATACTTGTTGAATGGTTTTGGCCTTAATTTTGTTCCTGATTATCAACGGAATATATCTTTAACGTGTGCATAAACATAATTTAATATTTAGCTAATCTTAATACAGATAGAGATAATGCGGCCTTAGTTATAGAAACTTAATTCAAGAATGCAGCCTCTTCATTGGCTATGATTTCAGCTCGAAAAATAAAAAAAATATTTCTTAGTTAGTTTCATTTTTGGCTCAAAACGGTTGATTGTTGAACAATCTATGGACCTAACAGTTATATACATAAAATACAATCAAGTTTTATTTTGACCCAAGTCAAAGTGGAGAGCTATGTTAACTTTGCAAGAGGAATGGGCGGTGGATTGTCTTCCTTCTATGTATTACTTACCAGGAGTACCAGACACGTAAAGTTATCAGTGCCATTCGTTTGTCACGAAATAAATCCAAATGAGTATAACTTGAATACGTTTTGTTGATCTGTCTTTCGTCTTCTGCTACCAATTCCAGTATGTCAGTATTAGGTTCTGGCTTTTTGTTTTTTCTGGCGATTTTACATGCTACTGCCACTGCTTCCTTTAACTTCCCTTTTACAGTTAACCATCTGATACTTTCTGGTACAATACTTTATAAAATAAATAATAAAAAACACTTTAAAATCTCAGTAAACCAAATAAAGAAAATGCTGTGCTAGTTACCTAACTTGGAGAAATAATTCACAGAATTGTTATTAATATTTCGAAAGTGATAAAATAATCTTTCAGTGACAAGTAGGAGAGTACTGTATGAACCACGAACAAAGCATGACGTCATCGCAGCCATCTTTGAATTCTGACATCATATTATAATGAATAGAAGTATAGTGATGTAAACATCAACAAAAATGTAAAGATAGGTTGCCAGGCAACGAAAATACGCCCACAGCAGCTAAATCGTCCGAGCTGGTCGACAAGGGTTGTCGCATATTTATTCTTTTGTAGATAATTGGGGGCATTTACAAGACAATTTCATACAGATCAGATTATAATTTTCGTCGTTTGAGGGTTCACAGGTTTCTAAAAACTGAAACAAGGGCCTTAACTCTGGAAGTAATTTTTAGAAATCGCTGAAATTCGACAGGCTTTTTCGTTTATTGATTTAAACAATGCATATAAATTTCATACAGATCGGATGATAACTTTTGTTCTTAGAGCGTACACAAGGTTCAATAAAGTGAAAGCAGGCTCATAACTCTAGGCTGAAATTCAATAGACGTCTTCGTTTCACTAATTTAAATGTTGCATATAACTTTCAACAAAGTGAAACAAGGACCATGATTTCATAAGAAATTAACGGAAATTATGAAATTAAATAGGCTTCTTCAACTCACTGACGTAAACAACACATATCAATTTCAAAACAATCAGATGATAAATGTAGTCAGTAGAGTGTTCACAAGGAATTATTGACGACGGACGTACGTACGTATGGACGGACGGACGGACGCACAGACGGGGGCGACGGCAATATACGACTATACTTCCATGCGAGCGTATAAAACGTATAGATAGTTTTACATATCATGTGACATCCTTGTATTTAATCTAAATAGTTTCATGCTTTGTCATTTCAAGTTGCTGTCTCGTAGCCTTTTGTGTTTGTGCTATTGGGACTTAAAACCATATAAATCAAGTAAAGTTAAATCTATGTCCATTTATATAAGATACAATCTTTACTGAGGTTACTTCTTATAGACAGACACGTCGTTTTTTTACCGCTTGTCAAGGATCTTTTATACTGATATAAATAAAACAAAGTAGGCCTACTGAGACTTAACCTTACTTTGCAATGTCAAATGTTGCGTTATAACTGAGAATTCTTTGAGCTTAATGCACATAGAAGCTTTTAATAAGACGACACAAACATCAAATTCATTATAGAACGTAGTCTATTATGTCTAAGCTCTATATATAGGCCTAGACAAAGTTCTATCAAAGATTTTAATTCAGTGATAATCAAATATAAATAAAGCAACTTACAAGAAACCTAAACAAATAGGAAAACTGATGATGCAGACGATGATTTCAAAATGGCGCCAATTTGGAAACAGCCATGTGATTAATGGAAGAAATGGTGCCGCTCCAGCCCAGACTGGATATGCACCAAGCAGTGCCCGCCATTTCTTTCCCACGAACTCAATCGAAGCCGGAAAACTTACAACAATCGTGGCACCAGCTGACAATCCGATACCAAATCTCATAGCTGTGAACAAATGCCAAGAATGCGATGCTGCACAAATACCAAGGAAGATGAGATGGAGCAACTGTACGACATAGAGTGTTCTGCGTCTACCAAATCTATCTCCGGTGTAACTGACAATAGTAGCTCCAACTAACGCCCCTGACATCTGAACGGATGTAATTGTAAAGCTTATCCATCTGTTTTCGCAGACTAGGTCCCACTGTAATACAAACAAAATACAAGGTTGGCATCAGACCCATAATTTTGCATGAGGGTCAAGATCCCACCCAGGCCCCCCAAAACAATATGTATATGTGTGTGAAGGGTGGGGGAGGGTTCTCTCAAGGGCGTGGTCACCCATAATTTTGCATCAGGAACAAGATCCCGTCCGGGCACCCCTAAAAAGGTGACAGTCCCTTCCAGTGCCCCGGGGTAATACTTGACTGTGTGGAACATGCTAGAGTTGATTGGTAGCATATCTGACCCACGGTATATGTTTGACACTGGTTGAGCATTATGATTATGATTATAATGTTGAAAAATGCATTAAAACCGCGTGATATTTAGCCATTTGCGAGGGGCGCAAAAACTAAAGGCGGCGCAACAACTCTAAACCACGACGAAAATGTCGTCATTGTGTCCATCTTACTTAGCCCCTGGTTGACATGTAATTGACAAAAACAATACCTAACTGTTAGAGTCCCCTGTTCACAAGTTCAGTAGAAATGATAGGGGCACAGCATAATGACCTATGTACCAAACTGATTTAGTTGGTTCACTCTAAAGTGTGAGAGCGTGCGTGCGGGAGTGAATCTAATGTTTGAACTGTAAATCGTAAGGTTTGTTATCTAGCAGATTAAATCTCAGGTTTTTATGTAAAATGGACATGGGTTACCTTCCTAACCCCATGTGTTTCTCCAAATATTGCTGGATGGTAGTGCCCGTCAACCTGTCCATGAAGTAGATGTGATGCCCATAAAAAAGAATCAAATGTACGTTTACCTCATTCACGATGGTCCGTTTGCTCATATCAAACGCTCGTTTACAAACTGTTGCGTTGCCGGTGCCATAGCATTGGTTTAAACTAATACTATGACTACTAATGTTGCCATTGGCAACTAAGTAGGTGGTATGGTTGTTGCCGTTGTTTACAAGATCCGATGTTGGCATAGAATCACACCACCAATCTGGAATAAAGCCAGTAAACGCCATCTCCAACATTGTAAAAGCTACTGGAATCTTCGTTGACAGGAAACAGGCCACGATGACGATTTGGTACCAACCAAAGTCACCTATGTCAATCATTAATTCATCTAAATGCATAATGGAGGTTTTAACTAAGGCACAGTGTTTAATATAAAGAATGTGTCTTGTTTGTTACAACTGGGTCTTGAATACCAATAGTTGGTCTACAAATCTGAAACGATGAAATATAAAGGAAATTTCAATAGAATAATACTCACTTTTCTTCCCCGAAAGGAAATGGAGAGAATGCATGTTTCTTTGCGCATTTCGTTTTTAGCAAATGGTGTTATTTTATTTTGCGGAATTTGATACTAGTTCTTTAATTTGGGGTTATTAAAGGCACAGCATTCCATACTCAAATATAGGATGCCAGGGTTGTCGCATATTCATTCTTTTGTAGGAAATCTGAACATTTAAAAGACGCTGATATCAATTACATACAGATCGATTGATTTTTCTTTCAATAGGGCGTTCAAACGGTTTAACAAAGTGAAACAAGTGCTATAACTTTAGAAGTTTTAACCTAAGTTTGTGAGAAGATAACTTTTTGTCGTTAGTTATTAATCTGAATAATGCATATAAATTTCATATGTATCGGATGATAAATTTTGTTGTTAGAGCTTTCACAGGGTCCAACAAAGTGAAACAAGTGCCACAACTCTAGAAGTTATTAGGAGGCAGACCACCATTAATTTCCCTATTGACTTCAATGTTAATTCTGGCCTCTTTGTCCGGCTCCAACGTTTTCCTGAATTTCCATTGGGCTGAATGATTTTCACCAAAGACGGGGAAACAAATGGGCTTGTCTTTGTACCAAAATTTGTATGTAGTTGACCACCAAAATTTGGAGGTACAGAAACTTGAAGAAGCATACTAAAACCATGTAACTATTCGCCGTACGTATCACCGTAACCAACCCGATGATTCTGTTATCCTTCCGCCTCTAAATGATAAATATTTACCAAAACCTGGCAGAAAATGTTAATTTCAACCCTCTTCGTCCATTTTAGACCAAAAAAATCAACACAAATGGGCACGCAAAAGGCGAGAAAAGAGACAGAGAGAGAATTGCTATGAACTGACGAACTACGGTTTCCGAAATTCAATGGCCCTCTTTGCTTTATTAATTTAAGTAATGCAAATGTATTGCATACCGATCGGATGATCTGTTTTGTTCTTGGAACCTTTACGGGGTTCGTAAAAAATGAAATAAGGGCAATAACTCTAGAAACTACTTACGGAAATTGTTGAAATTGAATAGGCTTCTTTGTGTTACTAATTTAAAACATGCACATTTAATACAGATCTGACGACAACGTTAGTTGTTAGAGCATTTAAAAGATTTAACACAATGAAACAAGGGCTATAAGTTACTAAAGGAAATTGGTGAAATTCAATAGGATTCTTCGATTTACTAGTCCAAATAATTCAAATAAATTTAATACAGATCGGATAGTAAATTTGTCGTTAGAGTGTTCACAAGATTCTACAAAGTGAAACAAGGGCTTTAACTATTTAAGTAATCAAATTGTTGTAATTAAATAGGCTTTTTCGTCTCACCAATGTAAACAATGTATATAAATGTTAAAAAGATCAGATAACAAATGTAGTCTGTAAAATGTTCACAAGAATTTGTGGACGACGGACTGCCAGGCGGATGGAGGTGACGGCAATATACGACAACATTTCAATAATGCAGTTACATGTAACAAGTTCTCTACTCTAGTCTTGCCTATTAACACACAGATCCACATCCACACCAGCTTGTAGGACCTGAACAACAAAGTTAAGAGCGATATTTTAAAATTTCAAAAAAATAATATTCACTGTATGACTGGATGCTTCCGCGGAACGCCCCCCCCCCTTCCGCCTCCTACAGGAGGCAAGAATGTCTGTACTGAGCGCCACGAAAAACGCATCACTTAGTTTTTCGTATAACAAAATGATCCTGTAAATCAACGGTACAAAGTCAGAGGGGTCAAAACCAAAAGTACGACACAGATGTCAGTAGCGCGTGTGTCCTCCACGGGCTCTTACGCACGCTGTGCAGCGACTTCGCATGGAATTTACCAATGTTTGAAAGAAAGACGGCGTCCAATCTCATCCCAGACATGTTCTATCGGTGCCATGTCCGGAGACATGGCTGGCCAGTCCAAGACATTGATGTTGTTAGCAGCCAGGTAGTCCATACTAAAACGGGCGGTATGCGGACGTGCATTATCCTGTTGGAAGTGCTGAAGTTGTGGGTGCGCTCGAAACATCGGAACAGCAATTGGTTGCAAGACATCATCACGGTAGGCTACAGCATTAACGCGACCCCTGCACATGTGTAGGGCGGTCCGGTGATGAAATGTGAAGCCTCCCCACACCATTACACTTCCCCCACCCCATCGATTCGTTTCGAAGACGCAGCATTCTGCAAGACGTTCCCCAAGACGTCTCCACACACGTTGACGGCCATCAGCGTGATAAAGATGAAAGCGACTCTCATCACTGAAGAGCACACTTTGCCAGTCTACTCTTCTCTATGTCTGATGTCCTTGAGCCCATATCAAACACCGCTGACGGTGATGATCCCTGAGGATAGCTCCAACATAAGGTCGTCGTGCACGGAGTCCTACTTCTCTTAGACGACGTCTTACGGTGTTGGCACTTACTGGTCCTTGTCTTCCGACGATTGCTGCACCTGTTCGAGTCGCTGGGCGGAATTTGTCACGCAGATGAGTGACCCGGATGTAGCGGTCTTGAGCCTGGGTTGTAACGCGTTGTGGACCAGGACGTTGACGGTCACGTGTTGATCCAGTAACTCGAACACGTTCCACCAACCTTACAATAGTGGACTGATGACAATTGAAGTGTCTGACAATAGCACGTGTAGACATGCCAGCCCTGGACATTCCCATGGCTTCATTCCGTTGATTTTCAGTAAGTCTCGGCATCTCTAGCTCGATTCCTTCACACGTCCAACAACAAATTACGACAGATTGACGTTTCACAGTTCATGTACTGCACATTAAATTGAAAACATGCTTTTAAAGGGCTCACACACAATGCTGCACGTGAATATTGAGTTTTTCATGTGCATCTCGTGCAATTTGTTTTTGCACGCGGGCCGATATTTTTTACGTTTGGGAGCATTGTGTAAAACAATAGTTCATAGTATTGCATAATATTATACATACAAAACCACCCAGTAATAAAATATTTGGGAAAAAAAGTGGTGCGTTTTCCATGGCGCTCAGTATATTATGTGTGGGTATTCTTTATGCAAATCTATCATGATTTTATTATTCCTTCGTCCTCGTAATATATTATCTGAATTTAGTTACATTGAGTTTCTTTTGTCATAGTTCAAGCAAGGCCAAGTCAGAAAAATGTTATTTCTTCAATACAATGTCTTTATCTGCACATAACAGGTAAGTGAGCATGTAACAATAACTGTGTTAAATAGACCATGAGAATAAGTGGGGCGTGAATGAACTGTGATGTATTGGTTTACAAGCTGTAGTATTTCGTAAAAACAAGCGAGGAAATCTTACTACCTTATTCATGACACATTTTTCCCCTTTCCACTCCTTTCCTTTCCTTTCCCTTTCTTTCAATCTATTTTATTTATTCATTTTATGAAATAAAATTAAGTGGGGTTTTACATCCTACTGTTCTGTACCATCCAGACTAATGACCACGCTCCATAGGCCTATACCATAACAAAACAAGACTAATCGAATGCATGATTAACCTAGAGCTCAGGGCCGTAACAACCTTAGCTCAGAGCAACGGGAGGGGGTGGGGGTGTCGTGAAGTTTTCTCAGGTGTGCTGTAATATTGACCTATTTTTTTATGGTCGACAATTTTTTCACATGGGGGGGGAGGGGAAAACGTTTTGCAGAGGGGGGGGGGGTCGCCGCCCCAGCGCCCCCCCCCCCGGCCCCAGTTACGGGCCTGCAAGATCTAAATCTGCCTATTGCAGGTCTTTCTTTAGGCCTGAATGTTATCTAAATTATCAATTAGCCATTAATTAACTTATCCAGACCATAATGAACCCTCGATGCTTTCGCTAGCCTGCGATATTTAGTGGATTGGAATACATTTTTTAAAAAATAATTAAATGTAAAACTGGATAATTGAAATTGTGTTTTTTGTCGTACTGAATTTAGTAATGATGATCGAGGCTAGCCTAAACTACAAAAACTAATATCTCGGTTCATAGTGGAACAATGTGACTGAATTTTTTTTTAGCATATTCTATTTACGTTATCTATTTTTTTTAACTGGCGAGAACTGTCAACTCTTTATCTAATCTCCCACAATGCCCCTTTAACTATGGATGCCTGACACGGTAGTTTTGTATGTATGTTTGGCTTGAAGTTGAGGCATGCTCATGTGAAATGTGAATGGTAGAAAAGGTCCTTCTATAACCTCATATACGATTTATTGAGTTGGACTATTCTTGACTATTTCATTTTATTTCATTTCTTGACTAATTGGAGTTAGGTGTCAACTTATGTGGACAAGTGAGAAACACCCACAACTAACATAAATAATGGAGTGGTTAAAATCCCAATTTTCAAAACCTTAAACTTAAAAGCTTTTTTTTAAAAAAAAAAAAAAATTAAAAAATCGCGTAGGTGCAGTAGCATTTATTGAGTATTGCAATATTTGGTAAAATACAGTAAAATACAAATTCAATACCTCTTTATTAGATCTTTCCTCAACTTATCTGTTTTAAAATCTATTTAACAAAGACTAGACGACCATTATAAGGTGATTTACATGTGGACTCTTTTCTTATATCTATTCGTACCGGGTTTATTAGTAGCGTGAACTTAGTGTCACCACCAAACCACACAATAAGAAAGATGACAACGCAGACTTTATGAAATTACTAGAAGAATGCCCGGCTTCGCTCGGGGGTCATAACCCCGAAACCGGAAGTGGTAGACTAACGCCACCTGGCCTATGTTGTTACTCCCCGGTCCGAGCTACCCCTATATCCCAAATTTCAGACTCGGGGCAGACCTAGTGTAGCCGCCAACCCCGAACAGACAGACAAACAGACAGACAAACTTCACAAATATTAGTATAGATAGATGAGGCTATTCTTTAGAATATATACGATTAACAGACATGGTTGAAATTGGATTGGGTTCATTGTCTAACACATCTGTTTGATGCAGATTGGGTGATAAATGTAGTTTCTACAGTGTTAACAACGGATTGTTGAAGGCAGGTTGACATGAGCAGAAGCAATATATGACTGTCTCGTATGACAATATCTTTATTAGATAATGATAGGTTACAATGTGGTTTGTCGTGGATGTACTGAATAATACATATATATATTCACGCTGGTATTGCTGAATGTTTCAAGGTCACAAGTATTTGTACATTAATAAATATAGTATATATGTTATTGTTGTTTATTACAGTTTATGACAACTGGTGAACATGTTTTCAGATTGTGGTAATAAAGTTTGATTATAAACAGTTGATTTTATTGTTATTTGTAAGATGTATGATAGTTATTATTTGCCAAGGTTGAGTAATCCACATGTCTGGTTGCAGATATGATTGCATTAAATGCATGTGAACTGCCTGTTTTGTTGTCGTGATTTGATTGGTTGTGAGTGAAACTGTAGTATACGTGGTGGGAGATATGAATTTATATTGTCACTCTAATAATGGATTTTGGGAGAACCACACATATTCATTGATCATATCATTCATGAATCGTTCGTAAATATATTTCAACTAAATGGGTGTTAGACTGTGTGTCTCGTTGGTTTTGACTGTGTGTCGTTATAATGGTAATCTGTGTGATTATGAGCAATAATTAGTACATTTACTTGTAAGTATTGTTTGATTTTTGTAATGTTGATAATCGTGGATGAATAGAAATAATTTGATTATTTGTTTTATAGGTGACCTGATTGTGATTGTGATTCTGATTCTGATAATGTTAATGTGCTACGGATAGTGTTACCTATATTGTTAGTCTGGTCGTTATTGTTCCAGTTAGTTATTTTATGGTAATTAAAAGATATACACGAATGAATAACTCATCAACCTTATCATCTTAATCATCTTAATCATCTTATTAAATGTGCCGTGGAGAGTCAAATAGTTGGTGACTGCTGTGTGCGCGTGTACCATCAAATCGTCATCTCATCAACATATAAACGTGATTAGTGGTCTTTTGAATCGGTGAAGACGGTGATATTATTAGAGAATAATTACATAAATATATATATATATATATATATATATATATACATATTATAATTGTATTGACATATATTGTAGTTATATAAAAATATTTAAATTATACTGTGTTTTGTTAATGTGAACTATTTAAGTACATGACTGTCAATCCGCCCCAAAAAGAACCAAAGGTCCAATTTATTGACAATGACCATATTTGGGCATACAAAGTAGCATAACGTACCTGGTGCACAATACACGTCAGAACTAAATGGGAGTGAAAGTTTGGATTTTGATTTTAGAAGCAAGAGCTTCTTGAAACTTCTATATAATAGCCGTTAGGATTGTCATATACCACGCCCCTGTAAGATCGACCTGATTTCAAGACTCTTCCACATATCGGTAAGATCTGTCAAAAACTGTAGCCTCTATCGCGTTCACAAGCCAATTGTTAATCAACGAAAGGAAAGGGTGACAACTATAAGCCCAATCAACGTGTGGGCGTATAACAGTGTAAAGGTATAGAACTCGTCTCTTCATTCACCAAAATAATACATCCGATCAACTCATTTCATTTTAAGCGAAATTAAAGGGCTGCTTATTGTTAAAGATGGGTTCCCAGAAAAGTATTTATCGGGTGGTTATTTCCAATAAAAGTATGGCAATTTTGGTATATATGGAAAGTAGAGATATCCAATCTTACTAGAAAAGTACTGGATTCCCCTAAAAACACTCATGGAGCGTATACAGGACAAAAATGGAAGGGTTCCCCTTATCAATAGCCCGACGATTATGACCTTCTGCACGCACGATGTCAAAGGTCACAAGCGAACATTGAGCGCTTGATGTACAAGTTAATTAGGATTCGATATTTGTAATAAATAGTAAGCGATTAAAGACAACATCGTCTTATGTATGCAATGATTTCTCCTCTGACTCCCAAGACGTGACGTAAACATGACCTGGTTTGATCGAATTTTAATAGCAGGGCATTTCTTTCGCAATTACAATGTTTGATAAGGATTTGAAGCATAATTATGACAAATTAATTAGTTTGAATATGTTTTTGGTCCATATATACCATTAAATCGCCCAGCTTGTACGCGGGAACCCATCTTTAAACTAATAAAGAAACATTGCAGGCCCACAACTTCTTTACCAACCGGACAAATGAAGACGGGCATATCCCATGCGGCGAGGTAAATTTTACTCGGACAGCAGCGCTAAGTCTAATTCTACACTTTTTATGTGCACACTGCACCTCAATTTTCGGTCCCATATCAAGACACTGTTCCTTGCCAGACTCCCCGCCTTGCGCTACTAACAGGAGGAAACCATGCTGGAAAATCTAAGGGTATCTAATCCCGGATGACCAGTTAGTGATCCAGCATCTTGTCCTATGGGCAACTCTCAAACATAGACGGACGACAAAACATACAACCATATTTCGATAACAAAAATTCCAAACTGAGCTAACTGCTTCAAACGGGTAAATGAATTACTGTTATGCAATGTTTACAATCCTTATATAAATCATAAACTTACACCAAATAACAAATTAAACTTCATCTGAAAATAAAATAACAATTTCAAATATCCAAAAGGTAAAATCAAAACTTACCACAAAAATATTAATGAAAGGTTCTATTAGTTCTATCACTTTTCATGGGTTACATAAGCTTGATATCGTTTTATGTAACTACAATAATGAACTCACTCAACTCTGCTTCATTAACTAACTATACTCCATTCATATGCGGCAGAGACTGACTGAATACAAGCTTGCTACAGTCAACGCAGGCACAGACTGGCATGACGGGACTTGTGCGTAGGGTTATATACGCTGGGTTTCATGCGCCTGGTTCTATCTGACTGAACACAGCCTTCAGGTAAAACATACTTGTTTCTGGTTGTTATGCAAATGAATATATATGTACCAGATATGTGGGGGAGGAGTGCGGCGACAAAACCTGGGGCCCGAATCCAATGGCCTAAAATATTCACATGGTGATGCTGGTTAATTTGATACCACATAATAATGTGGGGTTGGAGCGTGGCGACCAAGCCTGATGGGCGAACATACATACATACATACATACATATATACAAACACACACCCATACACACTTTGATTTTTTTATATAGATATCACTGCAAAGTTCTCAGCACGCGGATTTGGTACAAACTTTTTGGGTAGAATAATCAAACGGCACGCCCACGCTTTTTGGGTTGTATAATCAAAGGCTGTGTCAAAAATATTACTTATTTCACAGACTCAAGGCATGAATAAACTACTAGACGGCACACTTTCAGAAGCCTTCTATGTTGCATTTTCGAAATGCATTACTGTAAATATCAATAATATCAGACAATAGGGCTAGGACAGGCTCACTGTACATACAATTACTTCTAAACTAGCTTTGGGGCTCGACGATGTTTATATCTCCACGTTGAAAATTGACCAAATATTATCATGCCAAAGTTCATGAACTGTCTATGTTGCATTATCGAGTTATCGCACCTCAAAATTTACAACATCCGGATTCGAGGTGAAGTTCGTGGGTTCATTAAACAAAGGTACGCCAACGCTGCAACAGTGGGGAGTACCCGGAGAAAACCCACTAGGTTAGATAGGCGACCCTACTCCTTGTCACGTAAAAGCGACAACCAATCACGCACCACTTGACTCAATGACAGACCTTATGATCAAATACGCACGCGTTTTACCATTCGACCACCAAAGTCCCTACTGTTCTTCTCTTACTGGGCTAATGGAAACGAGAGAGAGATGGGATTTAACGTCCCTAGCTCGTAGGGGTCTTTAGCAGCGGGGGTGGGGGGCAGAGGACCCGGAGAAAACCCACGAGGTTGGACAGACAACGCTACTCCTTGTCACGTTCAAGCCAGGAATCGAAACCGAGCCACTTGAAACAATGGCAGACCATGCGATTGTGTACACGGGACCTCTTTTTTTGTACCATCGGAACGACTATACCTTGTCCGTTACCAGACTATCTGTCCTACACAACTGACAAATATCCTACTCACTGATCCTCCGCAGCTCCCACTTCATTTCGATTCCGGACACCGGACCTCGTTTTTTTTTATCCCATTCGAACGACTATACGTTGTCCGTTTCCAGACCCCGCCCCCCGCCCTACACCACTAACAAGGGTGAACCCTGTCAGAAAAATCCCGATGAACTTTGATGAAGTTACCGAGCAAACGCCCTACTCACTGAGCCGCCGTAGCTCCCACGTGTCCAGGCCCTCCGTCCTACACCACTGACAAGGGGAACCCCGCCAGAAAAATCCCAATGAACGTTGATGAAATTAGAGAGCAAAGAAACAATACTATCCGTGCAAGAACAGGCTACAATTCGTTAGGACTATTAAACTTTCTAGAACCCCAAACATTTCCGTCTATTTAAATCCAGGTCCAAAGATAAATGACGATACAGTAGTCAGGGGTCATGCGCATACACTTTACTTACGAGGCGAGTACGCGAGGGAGCGAAAAGTCGAGATTTCCATACATGACTGTACAATAAAAGCACAAGCTGAGCAAACCATTTTTAAATGGTTTGCTCAGCTTAATACAAAACACCGAAATAATTAGTATATGAAAGTCTCTAACAATTTGACTATGATTACAATAAGAATGTAATTTCATTTTGGTACAGAACATTTATTATGTTACGAAACTATTTCCTCTTGTGTACTTGGTGTGTTTTCTAATACGGAAAAAACATCTATTAAAGTGGGTCAATTTGGTACAGTACGTACCTTTAATTTGTTACGAAATTGTTCCATGTTTATTTGATGCCTTGTATAATCAGCAGGATTATGTTTTTATGTTATTTCATTTCGGTACAGTACCCTTAATATATTACGAAACCTATTTTTCAAGTCTTCTTCTCTGATCAGCATTTACAGACATTCTCTTTTTACAAAAATGTTTCATTTCGTTACAGTACCTTTAATATGTTACGAAACTTATTTTTTTCCCTGTCTTGTCTGATCACCATTTTCGGCTATCCTTTCTCATTTTTTTAAATATCTCATTTCGGTACAAAATATTATATATTATGTTACGAAACTTATTTTTCCCCAGTATATATGTTTTAAAAAAATATCTCATTTTGGTACAGCGCCTTTAATATATATGTTACGAAACTATTATTTTTTTTATCTTTATTTGATGTCTTCTCTGATGAGCATTAAGTGCATTTTCGTTTTTAAAACAGTGTTTTGTTTTCATACTTCTTTATATTTTTATTTAATGCCTTGGCATTTACGGTCATTATTTTTTTTTCGCAGTCTTGTCTGATCAGCGTTTTCGGCCAATCTTTCTCATTCTTTTAGCTATCTCATTTCGGTACAGTATATTTTTTATGTTACGAAACTTATTTTTTCGCCAGCCTTGACTGAGCCGCATACGTTTTTAAAAATATCGCATACCTATAATATAAATGTTATGAAACTATTATTTTTTATCTTTATCTGATGTCTTGTCTGATAAGCATTCAATACATTCTCTTTTTTAAAATAATGTTTTGTGTCGGTACAGTGCCTTTAAAATGTTACGAAACTATATTTTTTATCTTGACATTTACAGTCATTATCTTTCATCAATTTATAGAACTTAGACGCCATTTATGTTACCCTGTACCGATCTTAGGCTCTTTATGATAAAAACACCGTTTTATAGTCACTGGATACCCACCGGTAAAATTGTTGTATGGTTTTTGTTTTATGTTTTACAGATATTTAAACATGCATTATGCAAGAGCAAAATCTGCTTATTACAAGTCTTTCTTTAGGCCCGAAATGTTATCTCAATTATCAATTAGACATTAATTAACTTATCCAGACCATAATAGACACTCGATGTCAAGGCTAGCCTTCGATGTTGACTGGATTAGATTCCTATATGCCGCTAATGGCCATTGATAATTAAATCAAAAAAAGTGTATAATCGAGACTATGCTGTTTATATTAATGATTTTAGTAATGATGACCGAGACTATGCACAAATTCACCCGCTTCTTTCTCGGCTCATAGTGGATCGAATTGATTGAAATTTTCAGCAAATTACCTTTACACTATCTAGTTTTTAACTATTATAGCGAGAACTCCCATCTCTTTATCTTATCTCCCATAATGTATCTTTAAGCTTTCAATGATTAGGGTGTGTCAGTCTGTGGATGAGACATTCCGACTCTGGAATGGTGCTAATTATCTGTTAGTGTTATATATATAAAATGAGTAGGTGTATATCTTATGGGGATTACAACCTAGAACTCTGCCTCGCGATCGAAACCCAATGGAGATCTGGGGCCTGTTTCACGAAATTTTAACTAAACGTAAAATCCAAATTTTAGTAGATAGGCCCTACATCAATTTTGATTGGCTAAGCACTAAATGCAATCTAATATTATCCAAACAAATAGATAAAATTTGGATTTTATCTTAGTTAAAATTTCCTGAAACAGGCCCCAGTTTCGTACTACAGTGGATATTCCAGTTGTCAATCACGAAATTAATTAGTTGTGATGACTGCCTACATTTTAATTCAATTTGGTAAACATGCCCTTTAAATAAATATAGTTATTTAATGGAAGCATTACTCAACTAAAATGAAATGGGGTTAACGACCTGTTTTTCTGCACCACCCGGGCTAATGATTAAGGACATATCCCATGCATGGACAGCTGCACAACGGTACACTCTTATTTTGAATTCACACTCGGTCCTGCCAGACCCTCTGCCCAGTACCAGAGAAACTCCCGAGTAACCATCTCGGTCAAAATCGGGATGGATCCCTGAACTACCTTACTCACTGAGGTAACGTAATGTAATATAATACTCTCGAAAAATCATAACGATAACAAAAAATGTACTGATTTAATATAGTGAATGACCCTTATGTAACACTTGGTATTTTTACCAACTTTTCTGTTTGATACAAACTGTGGTGGTTTGATATATATGCATGACCCTTGCACTTTGTATTTTTAAACGTAGCATTTAAAGTTTTTTTTTTATATTATGTAGCATTAAGCATTTAAAGTTTATTTTATATGTAGCATTTAAAGTTGGGTGATTTTTTTGCTTTTCTTCGATTATGCCGCCGCCAAAATAATTTTTCGTCTGTTGCACGTCGATGGAGCGACTGTGGTCTATTCAATGGGAAATCTTAATCACAGCTTTGTTCCGACCGTGGCATGCGTTAACGATTCGTCTAATCACCCATACACCATAGTATGTGTCTGTTCCCATGGCTGTCAGAATAAACAATGTGTGTTTATAGTATGAAAACATTGTCTCGGGGAGGAGGCGCACCATTTTGACTTCGCTACGCTGACAGCACCGCCCCCACCTCCAAATATGATCAAAAGTATGCTATGATTACGCATTAATGGATTACATTTGATTATGATATTTGAAAAAAGGTATGCTATATGATTACACAGTAATGGATTATGTCCAGTAAAATGTTATACAATTCACCACGTGGATTTAGATGGTGTGTCTTTTCCCATGGCCGTCGGAATAGACAATGTATGTTTATCAGCATGTAAAAACTGTCTCAGGGAGAAGGTTAACCATTTTGACCCCCCCACCCCCACACCATAATATTATCCACAGTATGCTATGATTACACAGTAATTGGTAAATGTGATTATCATTTGAAAAGTATTTTAAAAAATAGTATGTTCAGTAAAATGTTATACAGTTTTAACACGTGGATTTAGATGGCGCCATTTCGTCACTGCACTAAAAGCGGAT